TGGTGTGTGTGGATTGAAAGTAGATCTGCATCCACACCCACATCCCTGCTTTTTACGCTAAAACGTCCTATGTTTTCTTGGAGAAACAAGCATGTTTATAAATGTTATCATCTTCAAACTCGACTTTTTTCAACGAAGATACCTTTTTGAATACGTAAAAAAAACTCAAATTTTTGCTGCTAAAAATTCGTTTTTTTACCAACTTTTCTGCAAAGGACCCTCTTGGTCTTGACAATTGAGAATTGATAATGTAGACAGTTGCGATACTCTGAATGACATTAATACCTTTTTGGATTAGTGTCGTTATATTTTCATTTTAGCTGATCGTCTGAGTGTTATATTCAAAAGATGATTCATTCATTTTTCTATTCTAAAGTTCATTATTGATCGATGGAGCTAATATTACATTTTCTGTTTCTGTTTACTATTATGAAGAATAAAGATACGGTATATGAAAAAGAAAAGATTATCGAGAACGTTTACAATTTCAACTCCGACTTTGACTTCGAAGTTTTTTTCACCGAGGGTGTGAGTGTGGGTGTGGGTCTGGGTCTGGGTCTGGGTGTGGGTATGAGTGCTGAAGATAAAAATCCACAGACCCAGACCCAGACCCACACTCACACCCACAGATACCAAGGGTTCAATATTTATACATATAATTTGCGTCAAAATCGGTAAAATTCTTCTTCTAAAAGAACATCTTTAATTGAACAAAATCTGAGAACAACTCGATTGAGCATGTCCAGTCATGACTTATGCGGGATGACTAATATACAAAACTTAATTATCAGACTTAACAATAAAGAAGTACATCCTTGATATTGTTCTTAGACAAGCATATAAAAGCTTAATGTTTTGAGTATGTAATTAATTCGCTTAGATCTACTCCAGACTACAAGATGTGCGTGTGAGTTTTGTTCAAATCATACCTACATTCACATTGACATTAACGCCCACATCCCTCACTCATATCCACATCCTCAAAGATTTATTTTAACACTGGTAAACAGGTGAAAGAAGATAGTCTAGCATATCAAACGTCTCTTATTTAACATAAAAATAAATATGAAACAATTTATAATTGTTCAAGTTCATTTTGTGGGCGTCGTATTCTCTCACTCACACAAGCTAGTATTTTTTTTTTACGAAAATAGATGTATGATGCTGAGATGTGAAATATGAATCGATTGCACAACAGCTGACTTTTCTCGAAATTTCCTATTTAAAGATTTAAGATTCTTTCTTGCTTGTTCGTAAAATTGTTACTGACATTCAGCTTCTCATATTGAGAAAAAATTCATTCGTGTACTTATGATGTGATTATATATATATGAAAATGAATTTAATTTTGCTTCTGCTTTATTTAAATTTTATTGAAGCAAACGATTAAATTCTTTTTTCTTTCTATTCACATTGAGAACGAAAAGTAATTAAAAAATTCGCCTTTCCGCGTCTATCTATAACGAATTTTGCTTGTGACATATGAACATAAAAATTCTTAACAGAAAATAAATCTTCTTTAAAACAAGAAATATTCTCATGTCTATCATATATATATGTCGTGCTGAAGCTATTAACAGTAAGCAATCGATTGATGACATTAATGAAAAAAAAGCATATAATTCTAATTAACTTTTCATTGTAATCGCATACAATTAATTTTTTTAGAATGAATAGATAAATAAGGTAGATATTATCGACAGAAATTGAGAAACAAAGGTTTTCCTCAGTATTCTTTCCAATATGTCGCAAGATTTTATTCAAATTCAGACTTTTATTTGACCACATAAGAGAAAAGACGAGGATATAGGCTTAGATACGATCAACTACATAATATCGAATGAGAAGTCTCGACATTTCAATAAATGTAATAAATTAAAAGCTAAGTTCAAGTAGTTTATTGTTCACTCGGATCACATGCCATTGTTATTTTCTTATCTACTAATCATAATGTCATTAAACTTCCCATGTTAACTTGATATGATCTCTTATCAAAGCATTTTAGTGACTTTATTGATACAGTATTGGTATACAAATAGATTTAAAACAATAATTACTAAATCAACTAAACTAATGCTTTTGCACTGCTTGACATAAAGCTTCAATACGAAAGACAATTAATTTTGTCCAATATAAACAAATTTTTACAAAAAAAAAAAATCAGTTTAGGTGTTATTTCAAATTAGAATACTGAACTTTAAGAGGATGATTTCGTAAGTGGCAGAAAATTATTTCATCTACACCTTGCAGCAAAAATCTAAAATGTCGAGAACATGATCCCATTGTTCATCTAACATGTGCAATATATATAGTCTAATACATGACATCGAATAAGGTATGCAAAGTCTCACATGTTCTCGCAGGACCTTAAGTAAAGTACGCAATTTTTGAACCTTTGATATTGCTGTGACAAACATGTGTGAATGATAAATGTTCAATATTTATAGTAATGAATTAGTCGTTTACATGGCTGAAATGATAACATTTTAGAATTTAGTTTACTTTTCGATTAGAAGAAAGTATTTGTATATAATGAAAAATTACTTATCTACATCTTTTGTTGTTATCATATGTAAATTTATCATTATTAGATACATTCTCAGTTCTGATATGTCTGTATGTATGTTTATAAAAATACATCTATACTCTTTAGTTTGATTATGAATAGTTTGTATTTTTCATCACCAAGGCAAGTAAGTATACCATATCTCTCTCCGTATATAGATAAATAAATCAGTTCAATACATATTCGCACGATCGTATCTAGACACATCCATTTCATATCGAATATTCATTACAGGAAGCTTTCTCTTACAATGGAGGAGTTTGTATTGTAAGTTAAAAACATTAGACATATTCGGGTCAAAAGAAAGCTCTCACCGCCAAACTAACAAATTTAAAATATTAGCGGCTGTTGGAGTGCACAGACCGAGATATTCAAATTTTAATGTATTTACACTCTATGTATGATGCTCACAATCCAATAATTTAGCAGAGCTTTTTCTGCTGTCTTCTTGATCGTTGGATAGAGCTCATCAAGTTGCATTAGAAAATATGTGTTTCATATTTTAGAAAAGAGATTTAAAAAAATCTTATCGGGCAAAAATCCAAGTCACACTATTTCTTAAATATAATGAGAAATAGAGCCAAAATTCTGACATTTGTAAGCTTATTTTTAAATCTCTTTTCTAAAATATGAAACACATATTTTCTAATGCAACTTGATGATCTCTATCCAACGATCAAGAAGAAAGCAGAAAAAGCTCTGCTAAATTATTGGATTGTGAGCATCATACATAGAGTGTAAACACATTAAAATTTGAATATCTCGGTCTGTGCACTTCAACAGCCGCTAATATTTTAAATTTGTTAGTTTGGCGGTGAGAGCTTTCTTTTGACCCGAATATGTCTAGTGTTTTTAACTTACAATACAAACACCTCCATTGTTAGGAATATTCGAAGTTAGCAAATCTTTTTTTTTTCTTTTACACACGTACATTTCTATACATTCATTCGTCTACCGTCTCAGATGTTCTTATACAAAACAGTAGACATCGATAGAAGTTCATTTTACTCGACAGACGATCTAAGAGACATTTCTTCTTTTTTTTTCGAAGTTAGAAACGGACGAATAGTTCTATTCTAATCAATATTCTTTGATTTTATTTTTAGTTTTCTAGTATAATAACTTCGTACAAACGATAAATGTTATCCAATAAAGGTCGAAATCATCCTAATGGTAATTTAATATTCTATTACAATTAAGTGAATAGTCATTATTTGTTTTTCTAATAGATGATTATGATAAAGAATTTCATTCATCCAAACGTGGTAAGAAGTCATTTTAATATTATACGTCTTAAAAACGAGAAAGAGAAAGTTGATATGTCTCCCAAGGTACTATGATATATCTATAGGTGAATGTTCATTGAAATCTGTAGAGGTTACCTGTGGAAGGTGTGGGTGTAGATGAAGAGAACACCGACACTCACACCCTACGAAAGAATACTGAGGAAAGTATTATTTTCATCTCCTATCTTTTTCCATTAGTCTTTTTTTTTCTTGGATTGTTCTTTACGATTATCTAATGACTATTCAAATCTTTTTTCCTCACTTTATATATGTTAGAATCAATCGTTCATATGACATGATTGAATCATATTCTGTATCTGATCTTTTTTTTTAACTATGAGACAACTTTCTTTTCGTTTGTACCGTAGTTGAAGGCTTCAAACCATGAGAAAGTATCTCAAAGAGACTAGTGAGTGCTTAGTACAGAAAAATAGCTTAGACATCATCCAACAGCAAACAAGTTTTGATGAATTTTTGATTTTGAATCTTCCTATTTGAGGTAGATATTCTGTTAGTTTGGATGCTAAAAATATGACAGTTAAACCAGTCGATGATTTATACAACGTCATAAATAGTTTGTTAAAGTGTTCTAACCGAAAGTTTTTTGCATCCGATTAACATAAAGCATAGAATAGAAAATGGATCCGATTTCCATCTTGCAAAGAATCATTCATCATTCAATTACATACTTTTTTTTTGTTTTTACTGAAAAACGGATATAAAATATGATTAGATGACGTGATTGCAACGAATTTGTTTGGTCATTTGGTTTTGCATATTATAATTAGCTTATTGCCGAAAAAAGTCTAACTTAACAATTGAACTAATTGATTGGATTAGCTGGAGAGAACATCGTAAAGTGTGAACGATGATATTTGAGAATAGTATCGTCGATTCGAAGGAGTTCTACTGATGCATAGTTTTGTGAAGTCGATAGTTAAATAGAATCTTAATAAACGATTCTGTCCGAAAGATTAAGTCATTAGAAGAAAATATTGATTACATAATGTTTTTTAACATTTTTAAAGTCATACTCATGCTTAACAATTAGAAACAAAATAGTCTATGGAACTATTTTTCAGTTCGTACAAGTCGTATCGATGAAAATTCATCGGATTATTCTCATCGTCGTTCATATTCTTTAATTGAAGTGGCCAATGACAAAGTAATATATAATGATCAATGTGAAAATGGTTCATATGATGTTACATCAAAATCTACATCAAAAAATGGAATCGATACAAGAAAACGTTCACATTCATTTGTTCATCCAACAATTTATTCAATTGTACCCAATACACAATTAACAACAATTGTTAAACGACCATCACAATGGGGACATGGTATTTCATTTTGGTTTTCATTGATTTGTATTGAATTTTTTTGTTTTATTTTTCAGTTGGTCAACGAATTGAACTTTATACAAATCATTTTCGTATAAATTTTTCAAAACAAGTTGATGAAACAATTTTCTATCAATTCGATGTTGATGTTGAATTATTATTTCGTGATGGTTTATGGCGTTCATGTAGAAAAGATGAACGTTTACATGTTATTAAAAAAATTATTGAACAAGAACATTTTCCACTTGTCTGGTATGATGAAGGAAAAAATTTATATGCCATTGAAAATTTAATGTTAAAATTCAAGAAAGAATATCAATGTGAAATTGTTCATAAAAAAAACAGGACAAACAAATAAATTTCGATTATTAATTATAAATCTTGTTAAAACTTGTAATTTGAAAACAATATTCGATTTCATAGAAAAACGTGTTTCACAACGACCACATGATCCCATTCGAATACTTGAAATATTATTTAAACAGACACAACGAATCGAAATGATCACAATTAAAAATCAATCTTATTCAAAATATCAAAGATTAGATGATCTTGGTAATATGCAATGAAAAAACTTTCGATTTTTGTAATTATAAAATCTTTGTTTTCAGGCGATGGCCGAGGTTTAGCTTTAGGATTTTATCAAGCTATTGTACTTGGTGAACGTGGCCCAATGTTACATATTAATAATACATTTAGCTGTTTTTATCAAAATTACAATTTAGTTGAATTTATTTCCTGTTATTTGGGTCACGATATCAGAAAATATGGTAAGAACTTGAAGTTTAGAAATTCTATTGAGAAAATTTAACTACGATATATCGAACTTGTCGAAGATTATCATCGATATTCAAGACTAAATATGACTCGGTTCCTTCAATGACAGAGAAAAAGAAAACTCCTATTTAACATCAGAAGGAAATAACTATTACTACTACTTCTTCATCGGAAGACTCTTGATTCATTGGTAAAAGAGTTCTTTCAGCTTTGTATAGGCTTTAAAATAAAGTAAATTCAGTACAAAGTAGCATCTCAAATACATCTTCAAATAATGTTATAGGTATGAATAAAAGTCTTCATCCTTAGCTGATTTCATTCAGCATTACACATGCACAAGGTCTGAAAATTAGTATGCATCTAAATCATCAAGGATGTTGGTTAAAGCTACAATTTTATCCTAATCATTTAAATTGAACGATAATTGTAATAGATGGATATAAGTAGTATTCATTTTTTTGTTTTGTTTTGAGCGTGATATTCTATGCAAGAAAAAGAGTTGTAATCGAGCGATCAGTATTCTCTTATATATGGTTATACTTCATTGACTCATGCTTTCAATATCAATGAAACTGCGATATATGCTTAGTATTATGATTTGAAAAAACGAAACATATTCTGATGTACAGATCGCCATCGTATTTGTGTCAAATGCTCAAAAGCATTGAGAGACTACATAACACTAAAAACAAATAACATGATATTTTACATGGAGAAGTACAATAGACTGAATTTGAGTTATGTATCAAAGTTTCTGGAATTAAAAAAAATATATATTGTAACGAGTAGTCCAGAATTAATGGCATAGTTTGCATTTCGTGAATATCTCGCCTAGCTTTGATCATAGAGAGTTAAGGTTAGACTTTTAAAGATAGCCAATTGAATTCTCTACAAGCTGCATACATCAGACATTTTTCTATACAATGAAAAATAGAAATATGAAAATAAGAATATTCGAAACATTCAAAAGGATCAACTTTCTAAAACATTTTATTAAATAGTATTTGGAATACTTTTTTTTGTTACAATTTCGAAAACAAAAAGAAACATTAGTGAAGATGTTTTTTTTTTCTATACATTGAAGTGTGCTTTTTCTCGCCATGTAACTCAACGTTTGTTGCAATAAAATTGAAAATCGAAAGTTTTTCGCCAACTGAATTAAAGAAGAGAATTTTAGCTCGATTCCTACCTCTAAATCTGGTACAGTAGTCATTTTCGATGAAAATAAAGAAAATCCGAATTCAAAATATGCTATTTTAGTTTAGTTATGCTCTCTTTAATATTCTATTCATTGGTTTAGAGTTCTAGTTTGTAGAAAGATATTCACTTACACGTCAAAAGACAGTAATCGAATATATAGACTGTTGCGCTGAAAACACATTTGTTTGTTAACAAAAATTTCAGTTAGAAAGAATATTCATGTTAAAAAGTGTTGAATTTCACAAAACTTATGAAATTTAATGTCTAATGAAGAAAATATAAATTAGATCTAAAAATTCTCGTTCATATTATATTATTGTTATAGGTATTCCATCAAAAGATCAATCATTACTTGTTCGAAAAATTTTAAAATCACTTTGGTTTGTAACATTATATACAAATCGAATTCGTCGATATCGTTTAAAATCTTTTGGTCGTGCAGCTAATGAACAGAAATTTCTTAAAGATCAAGATGAACAAATAACTGTTGCTAATTATTTTCATGATAAATGGAGAATTCGTTTATATCATCCACATTTACCTGTTGTTGAATTATTTAATCCAATTGATAAAAATAAAATACATTTTTTACCAATGGAATTAGTTATTATTGATAAATGGCAACGAAGTTTAAAACCATTAACAACTGAACAACGTACAAAAGTAACGAAAAAAACAGTCGTTCGTCCAGGTGAACGTTATGGTATGATACGACGTGTTGCTGATGAATGTCGTTTCAATCATGATGAATATCTTGTAAAATTTGGTATCAATGTCGATGTCAATGAAATGATTATGTTACCGGCAAGAATTTTATCATTACCAGAAATAAAATATAAATCATCACAAGATGATCAACATGATGTTGTTGAACGAGTTCGAAATGGTAAATGGTGGTTAAATAATCGTTTCAATAAAGCATGTGAAATACATGTATGGGCTGTTGTTTTCGTTAGTCAATATGAACCTAATAATCGACATATTCAGACTGCAAGAAATTTTACACATAGAATTCCACAAGTTTGTATTAGATGAACTATTGTAATTTTTCCTTTCTATTTTAATTAATTAAAGGTTATGTCGAAATATGGTATTCGTTTCAATTCAAAGCCTATTGAAAAATCTGATGCAGCTGTTCCACAAATAATTCTAGCTCGTATGCATGAACTTAAAATTCAAGGATGCGAAATTATTATTTATATTCTTAATCAAGTTGGAGATGACATTTATCATGCTATCAAATTTTTTGGAAATATTAAACTTGGTAAGATTTCATAACATCTTCAATATGCAACTCATAATGAAATCTAATTGAAAATTCAAAAAACTACTATATAGTTTCTGTTTAATTATAAGTAGAATATAAAAAGAGACTAGAAAAGATTGTTAAGGCATTTCCTCTGGGTTTTTGATGTGTGAAATTCACATATTCTTCATACGCTACATTATCTAACTATCATCCTCATTCCGAAACGGAAAAATCTACCGAATGTTAAACAGTGTGACAAATTCGTTGCTATGGTTTGTAGTTGGAAGAGAGCAACTGCCAAAACTTGAACGTAAAACTTACATTCACTATTTTCTCTTTGAAAATAATGGTTGAGCCAGAATAAATGGCGGCTTCAATGTTTCGCCAATATCTCGTTTAGTTTTCATTATTCAGGCTTCATTTTTTTTTCAAATGATTCTTCATGTAGTTCTCTACAAAAAGCGTATGAAAAGATTTTCTGACGAAAATCAAGCAGAAAAATTAGCAAAATAAGATTAAACGCGAATGAAAGGGCCAAATTTCAAACATACTGTAAATACAGAGTAGAGAGCATTGATTGCACTCCCTTATAACACAACGAAAGAAAAAGTAATATACATCTCAAGGATAAGCCTGGTTATTTTCAAACTAGATCGATCGATAGAGTTTCTTAACGGTTACAAAGTAGCTATTTTATTTCATTTCTATCGCAAGTAATCTTCGCAAAAAACTGCAAAAACGTTTTTTTTTAAGCTGTGAAAGTTGATCCTTTCGTTCGCGTTTAGTCTTATTTTGTTAATTTTTCTACTTGATTTTCGTCAGAAAATCATTATCAGATATGATTTCAACAAATAACTAACAAGATAAATTTATCGATTTCAAATAGATTCTTCATGAGAAAATTCTCTAACACTTTATTTACATCTAACTAATCTTCATTGAAAGTGATAATAAAACAATTCATCTTCTTAGAAAGAACTATACCATTTAAACATCCTAGAAATTTCTGTAGAGTAGGACCGAGTTAAAAAAAAATTTTACAGAGTAAATTAAAGATTACTAAAATTCCTTCATCTGCTTCATAAGTTAAAGACCGCTGATATCTACTTTGCTCTTGTAATTTGAAATTAATGTTAATATTAATTATTCAGTATGAGAAATAATGTTTTCATTTAGGTATGGTAACTCAATGTACACGTTATGAACGACTTGTGTCAAATAGTGATAATCATAAAATGGATATGTACATTCAAGTATATTGGATTTTTCTTTTTTAAGATTATAAATATAAAAATCTGAACTTTTTGAAAAGAATTTAGCACAAAAATTCAATGCTAAATTAGGTGGTGTTAATCAACTTGTATCATTAATACATCCATTGATGTTATCATCAGCTCGTTCCGATGTATTTATGTTTTTTGGTATCGATTGTACTCATATAACATGTTCACATGAACGACCATCAATAGCTGCTATAATTGGATCAAGAGATTCAACAAGTTTAGATTATTTTTTTCTTCTATTATTTATTCTTGTAAATTTATTATTATTATTATTTTTTTTTCCTCATTCATAGGTACACAATATGCAAGTCGTCTTGTAAAACAGTTTTCACCAAAAGGAAAAATTACTCTCGAAATAGTAAAAGATCTTCATATGCCTGTTGGTGAATTATTACATGAATTTTTCAATTATAATTCATATTTGCCAAATAAACTCGTTTTTTATCGAGCTGGTATCGACAATGGATCATTTCAAAAAGTACTTGATCATGAATTACGAGCTATTAAACGAGCATGTACAGGTAATTATGATTTATGAAAATGAAACAAATGAAAATTGTATTTTTAGATTTATATGGTTATAATCAATTACCTCAAATTTGTTTTATTATTGTTAAAAAACGTCACAATACTCGATTTTTTCATTGGAATAAAAAATCCAATCAAACAAATAATATTCAACCAGGTAAAAAAAAATGAAATAAATACTTCGTATTTTTTTTTTGTAATCGTTGATGTTATATTTCTTTTTAAATTTCAGGAACAATTATTGATACAGATATTGTTTCACCGAATGGTTTCGATTTCTATCTTAATTCTCATGCAACTATACAAGGTACATCAAGACCAATACTTTATCAAGTTTTATACGATGAAATTGGTTTTACATCGGATGATATACAACAATTGACGTAAGATATTTCAACTTACGTCATAAGAAAGAAACTTTTTTTTTGAATACAAATAGATATTATTTATGTCATACTGTTGCTCGATGTACTAAATCTACAGCTGTTCCAGCACCTGTTCATTATGCAACATATTGTGTAGCACGTGGTCTTAGTCTTGACTATGAAGGACAGATAGCAAATGAACAACAAAGTATTGCAGTGTAAATTTTCTTTAATTTTCGTATTTTAAAGTTTGAAAAAAAAACGAAGAGTCGATTTTCTTGTTTTTAGTTCGGAATTCGACGAAGCCTTGTTCGATGAGAATGTTATCGTTACTTTAGATGATGTTCAAACAATTAAAATCGATTTTAATCCATTAATTGAAAACACAATGTGGTTTGCATGAACTTTGATTTCTCTTTTTTGTAAATAGACTATTATCTTGTTTTGTTATTAATTTATCTTTGGTCGAATGTGACCATGCATTTGCTTGTATTTCATTTTTTCTTTTTTTTTTCTTAAGTGATTTTTTTTTTACATGTAATTGATTAGATGAGTAAATTGATTAGCTATTGAACGAAAAATCTCATCTTTTGAAACAAATCATTGACAAATGAGAGTTTACATCGAAATTATGAAACATCATCAAATAACGATTCGATGACTTTTCCGAAAATTTCACATAATTTCTACAATAACTTGAGCATATCTGTAACTCAACAACGAATTCAAGAAGTAACAGAAGAAAAGATAACATTTCATTTGTCTGATAAAACATTCTTTATGTTGAGAAAATGTTTCTAGTTTAGTTATTATTGTAAATTGAAAAGAAGAACACGATCTTCAATTATTTTTTCTTATTCATATGCTGTCCCTATTTGTCGTTTTAAACGATTCATTTGTTTTTTTTTATTAACATGAACTCATCGACCAAATAATACTCTATAGTTTTAAACACTAACTACTAGCATTGAGAGCACAATCGTTCATTGGGTATGGGCGTGGGTGTGGCTAAACATGGAGAGTTACCACACTCACATACCCACACCTTTCGTATGTTTGAAGATTTTCTTTTCAATTGTAAATAATTTTGATCCCAGCGAATATATCAAATTCTGAGACTTTCAATACAAATGTGTATCGGCAGTAATGAACTGTATCTTGTTTTTCTTCGATTCATTTCACCGAATCAATTATGTATGAGTATCATGTTATTGATGAATATCAATGACGAAACATAATATATTGTATGGATAGTATAATGATCAATTTCTTTTCGTATGAAAACGATAAAACTGAACGTAAATTATTTATTATCCATTTCAAAATAGAATGTGCTCCACTGTTTTTTGAATAATTCGAGAACGCAAGCAGCTAGAAACCTGCGGTTTTCACCAATCGAAAGAGGAGACGAGGGCACGTCTTTTTCTCTTATATTATATAAGACGAAGTCCTTTTAAAACTAATTATCTTCGAGAAACATGCAAAAGAATGCATGAAAGTGACCTGCCACCTGGATGAAATTTTGATTTTGACCTTCGATTTAGATAGAGGGACTTGAGATCTGTAGTTCAAGATACTATGCAAAAGGTTCTTTTATTGCTTTGTAATGTTGAGAAAATGGAATCATGTATTTACATGCGCAAAAAATAGAGAATTTTGCTGGTTTTTTTACTAAGTTTTTGCATTTTTTGTCATAATAGCTGGACATTTCGATGAAAATGCAAAGAAAAGTAGGAAAGTGCATTATATCTTGAACTATAGATCTCAAGTCCCTCTATCTAAATCGAAGGTCAAAATCAAAATTTCATCCAGGTGGCAGGTCACTTTCATGCATTCTTTTGCATGTTTCTCGAAGATAATTAGTTTTAAAAGGACTTCGTCTTATATAATATAAGAGAAAAAGACGTGCCCTCGTCTCCTCTTTCGATTGGTGAAAACCGCAGGTTTCTAGCTGCTTGCGTTCTCGAATTATTCAAAAAACAGTGGAGCACATTCTATTTTGAAATGGATAATAGTTTAAGATATTCTGCCATAAATATTTTTGACGGAAATTTTCTAAAACGATGTTATAAAAATTCAGTTGTTTGAATTTTTCTTTGAAATTTTTATGCAAAAACTGCAGTCATTCTAGCACAAATGCAGTAATGTCACGTTTTTAAATTTTCCATAGTGAGATAGATGGTACTGTGAATAAGAGACGGTTGACGACGATACATACTGTCTAGAACTATTAACGTTTCTTTTTTTTTCTAATTTGTAGATGATATTAAAATACATGAGATTATTCGTTAAATATTTAACATCAATGAGCGTAGGTATGTAAATAGTGTTTCTTTCTTTTTTTTCATGAACATCATGTCTTCAATCAGTTTATACTAAATATGTTAGATTTCTTGTCCATGTTTTTTTTTAACAATGCCTTTCAAGTTGTGAATTTTGAATTTTATTTCACCCGCACAATAAACTTAAATTTGTATCCAATGTTTACAATATAATTCTTACACTTTTATTCAGAAGAATACATTAAATTATAGGTAATATTTCATGCGACTAGATTATCAAAATCTATCATTATCATAAATGATTTGATTTGGGTGTGGGTGTGGGTGTGGGTGGGTGTGGGTGTGAGTGTGGGTGGGGTGG